GTTTGCTTTTATACTCTTATATATATATGTGTGTGTATATATACTGAATGATCTAAAAGTAAAGGAAAAAGTAAAAATTCAATAATTCGAAAAGTACAGACAGCACCGCAATGCGATTTTCATTAAATGTACAAACATGGGATTTTGTTTTAATAATGAAACATTTTACTGTAACCTACATATTAGTTAAATTTTTCACCGACAGATGACACTGTATCTATTCCTGGCATTTCGTGCAGGACATTAACGATCGCTCAAGATCATTCTCAAGATGTATTCTTACAAAATACAACACGTACGGTAACTGAAACCAATGATTTCGAAAGACATCTAGAATTTGCGCGCTGGGCTAATGCGGACTGGCTGACAAACGTCCTGTAGACTGACGATGAGCACTCTTTACTTAATGGAAGCGTAAAGAAATGTATCGCACACACCTACTGCATCTGCGCGAGAGAGATCCGTCGCGCGATAGTGGAAAGTCTTTTGCATCAGCCAAAGATGACAACGTGGTGTGTACTTCCTCTGCTGAAATCCACAGCGGTACATTTTAAACTCTTTCTATCACACTCAGGCTTTATGCATAACTTTTAAGATACAGCATCATTCCCTTCTTCTAAGACTAGCAAATGATCCATAGTGTTGCATTCATGCAAGATGGAATGCACTTTCCTCACAGGTCCTGCCCAGCACCTGCTGCAATCGACATCTGCTGATGACCTTGCTCCCTGTCGCTCTTTCCCGCGCGAATGGCCATTACACCTTTTACCTTGTTATTTTTTGTTATAGGGCTACTTGAAGTCGCAGGTGTACAAAGTTCGACGGACATTACTTTCCATTTTGAAAGATTCATCATTTGATTTTTGACCGTTTTTTATTATGTGACAAGAATTGTGGCTGAATCCTCTTGGATGCTGTGAATAATGTCATGTGTGGCAGCCATTCTCTTGAATGTCTGCCTCATTGAACATTGGGAACTGTGCTGCGCCATTGTACGTACTTCTGACACAATTAAACGCCTCTGTTGGTCAAAATGTATCTATTCTGGCAATACAAAGCTTTCTTACTGTTTATCTATTTTTCGAATTATGGAATTTTGACTTTTCTTTTTACTTTTTCTGTTACATTTGGATCATCGGGTTGATACATATATACATATATATATAATCTTAGGAAACTATAGAAACCAATTCCATTATTTTACCCCTTAGTACTTTTTGCGAAAAATTTCATAAATGAATTATGTAATAAATAGGTGTAGTTCAAAATACTACAGAAGCATCAAGTGTCTAGAATTTACTAAGTAGAATAATCTTTGAAAATTTTCAGTTAATCTTGGTACTCTTTCAGAGAATAAAAAATATACGTAAAAGTGACGATAGGCAATAGTGTAATGAAATGCAGCGGCTCAGAGACATGCATTACGTACATTTCTTCAGAGAAATCGCAGCTATGAGCACCTGTTTGGGACCGACGTAACCAGATATGCAGAAAGAAAATGGGCTGTGTTCAACTTCTTGTGTGTTTTCATCTTGGAGGTCATCCCTCAGAATCACGCGTTTCTTCATACATACTCTCTTTGATGGCTGTGAGTGTGTTGGCAAGTGATCGCTGTTATCTGTGATAGGACAATTGACCTTTTTCTCTGCTTCCTAGCTTTACACTTCATCATTAAATTTGCCTCCCCTCTGTTTCTAGCATTCGTTTTATTCTCATTAATGTCGCGTTAATCATATTAGTTTTTTCGTTGATTTTATTAGGAAAATAATTATTCATATTTCTACATTCCCTTGAGGCAGTACAGTATACCATTTCTCACTTGTCTTTTATCTAAGATGCCAGAATCCCCCTTTTTTTAGAGAGGGATGAAATGACATACTGTAATGTGCAGTATATTTTGCGTTATTGCGGTACCTTATTTTTTTATCTACTCGTATAATATGTAGTGTAGAGCACAGTTTACATTATTATTTTGTTCAATGTCAGTAGTGTGATCTTTAACGTATTAATCTTTAACGTATTTATGTATGTTAGGTGAATATTCTGCATCACTATTGTCCGAAGTTTCATATTGTTGTGTGCACTTGCTTGCCATTCCCGTAGCGACAATCTGCTTCCTTTTCTGTTACGATATATTTGCAAATGTACGTATTTCGAGGAGTGGCAAAAAGACGGGATTTTAACGGTTAGAAGAAACCAATCGTACGCGACTGTTTGATGCTTAAAAATAAAATACGTATTATTGACTTACAATATAAATAGTTGATATATAAATAAACTGCGGTTTTACTGATCCAGTTTATTTTCGGCTATCTCAATTTCGATTCCTTGCTTTCGCAACTATCGATTCATTATTTTGAATGTCACTTCCGAAATGTATATTTAAGGTATATCCCGTAACGTATTACCTGCGGATACGAAGGCATTACTACAACTCCAGAAGAAAATCGTTAAGCTGTATGACGGATTTTTAAAGATTATACAAAAGATTTATGAACATACAGAAGAGAAGTGAACAAAATTCCAGTAACCCTCAAATTTATTACAATAACTTACGGGAAGATCATTTATCTTTGATTCTGGAAAATTTCTCAGTAAATTTAAGTAACAGTGTTGACTAAGAAGCCTCTGAAATATTTAGGTAGTAATTTTACATTACCTGTATACTGTTTCAGGAGAACTTCTGTTTATAGCTTTTTCCTCTTTTAGTTCCCTTTATCTTCCGCTTTTTTCTTACTGTTTCTGAATGACACATATATTTTCTCCAGGCTTTCTTTACTTAGCTTAAAAGAAATTCCTGCGGAGTTCGATTTTTTACGAACATTGTTTTTTTTTCTTTGCCTTTTTTTTTCCACATCTAATTTGGTGCTAAGTTTCATTGTTTCGTTTTATAACACCATGAAATTTTCTTTTTGTCGTTATGTAATGCTATTAATGTTATAACTTTTGAAATACATGTAATCATTATATTATCCGGGAAAGTGAAAATAAGCGAGTGGAAAGGACAGTTGTAACAAGTAATAAATTAAGAAAAAGTAGAAATTAAGATTAAGCTATAAGAAATAGGATTTTTCAAAAAAAAATTGTTATTAAAAAAGAATTATTCAGCAAACATTTTTATGTAATGTTTCTAATAATTTGTAATTAAATTACTCATAGTTTAGTGTTTGAGACGGTCTCATCAGAGGTAATTACCTCAAAAATTAAACTCGAATAATTAAGGAGGTCTGAAAAACGTTTCGTCCTTCTTGACTATTTGGAAGAACTAAAAAAACTACTAAATAAAAAGCTTAAAAATAAAATTATGAACAAACATTTTTAACACCCTGTTCTCAAAGAGTCAAGAATATACGCCAACACTAATTCAGACCTCAAAAAAAGAGCTAAATTGGAAAAAGCACATTTATTGCATTAAAATAGTAAATTTAAAGCAAAAATATATATTAATATTTTAATGACGTCAGGTTTTTTTATGAATTATACAATAGGCCACAAATAATTGTGAAAAGGTTCGTTCAAAATATCCTCATTTTTTGATAGTTATAGTGTTGACCAAATCGACAGGAAGCATGTTTGTGAAAATAATTCTATTTTTAGCAAAAAATAATTTAAAAAAGCTTATTGTTTCAAAGGAACAGTGAGATTCCTTTGAAACTTTGAAGTTGCTATTCAAAGTAAGTAAAACGTCGTAGTGTTACATAGTAGAATAAAACAATGTGTAATTCTATTTTCTATAAAAAAGTTGCGGAAAAAAAATCGAAAAAAAAAAAAAAAAAAAAACTTAAAAGTCACAAGTAAATTAAATGTGTGAAAGTTTGTAAATAAAATCAGAAACGCAAGACTAAAAAACTTTAATTCTACATACAAGGAAAAACATTCTTCAAATATCCCTAAAAGCGGAAATAAAGTGGCGGTCTCATATTCTAAAAAAATGGAGCTGCCGAAATTAAGAAACTCTTAAACTTTCTTATTGAGAACGCGGGATGCTAAAATGGAACTAGTTTGCCGTTGAAGGTTAAAATCATTGCATAAAAGGGCAGAAGAAACAAAACGTTCAGAGTGGTTTATTGTATTATATTAGTTATAGTTTTATTGTATTTTCATTATGAAGTCCTTAATTTTACTCACTTAGTTAAACTGTTGTTTAAATTTTGATATATATATATATATATATTTGAAATAAGTTGTTATTAAAAAAGATATTTTTTAACTGAATATAAGTAAAATTAGCCAGTGGGTGGTTGCGTTTCACTGTGTGAAAAAAAAAGTTTTGATATTCTTCATCAATAACTACACATTCATTTTATCATAAATTTTCCAACAATGCCAATTTAGCATCAATTTTATGGTGTAATTCAATATTTAAAATAATTAAATGTGTGAGTAATTTTATATTGCTCAGATATTTACCTAAAGTTTTGCTGAAAAATGTTACTTAAAATAAGTGTATAAATTAAAATCATATTTCCTTTCTTTACATTTATAAATCAATTACAGTATTATTAAACTATTATTTGTCTAACGGAAGCTTCTGCTCGGAGTTTTAAAGAGCGCTTGATTTTAATGGCGTTCCCATTTGTCCGTTCTCGCATTTTTAAATCATCAGTATTTTTTTCTGTGTTTGTATTATTTATGAGAAAATAATAATACATGCTTCGCACATGTGCGAATCTTTATAAAATATGTGTTAATATTTCTTCTTTACATTGTATTTACAATCTTTTAGTGCTATTCTGAAATTTTTAAATAAATCTGAAACTTTTTTTAATTTAACTGTTCTTAGGTAACAACATTTTAAATTTCAAAGGTGAATCTCGATTGGAAAATAAGAATTATAAAAATGTGTTGTTTCTGTTAATGGTGATATACATTCTTAAAATGTTCCAATAATTTGATTATAAGGTTTAATTAGCTTTTTGTAAAGAAGTTAAACTTAAAGAATATATTATAGTTTAATTTGCACACATTTAAATACCTCGTTTTCTCCTCCTTTCAAATAGGACGAGAAGTACCTTGCTGAATGCGCCGCCATTTTGTGGTTTTGACAGGCAACTCTCCGCCCAACATATCGCTTGGCAATTCCTCACTCTTACAGGTAATTTCATCCCAACTCAGACTGTCACTCGCTTGCACAGCCTAATCACTAATCTTAACGAAATCTATATATATAAGGAACAGAAGCATAGCTATCTGAAAGAAGCAAAATTCAGCCTAGATCAATATCGGTTTTGTAGAAAACCTTTATGCATTTCTTGGAAGTTCGCTCGTTTGAAAAAAGTTTATATTAGCTGCAGTCGTCATCCACTTATAACTTTCTTAATACTTTCCTTTCTTTTTTGTTCAATAGATGCCACTACAATCGTTGCTTCCTTTATGATTATTTAATTTTTATTACGGTTATTTTAGCGAAGCATTTCCGAAAAAAGGCATAGAATATTTTCGTTCCTTGAGAGGGGGCGGGAGTCCATGTCGATCTCCTTCGAAATGCATAGAGCTTTTCACTCGAACTAAGTTTCATTCGGAAGCTGAATTTTGCCCTAATGTAAACAAAAATCAAAGTATCCGCGAATATATTTATTTAATATTATTTAACACACTTTTTAATTCAAGGTCTAGATTTGTTGTAAAATTGTTTAATTTCTGTGAATTTCAAATTTAGTACCGTAGCTGTTGCTTGAATGGACTGTTAGGGGGAAAATGGACTGTTAGGCGTTCATTACGCCGTGAATTCATGCCGAAATGAGGTATCCGTTATTGCCGTTAAATGGAATGTGTATATATATATATATATATATATATATAATGTTATATTTATAAAACGAAATATTTTTATCAAAATTTTAAAAATAGTTCAGATAATAATAAGAGGAAAATGTAAAATATGGTGTCATACTTTGCTGCATTATGCAGGTGTATAATTAGTAGTTTAACGTGTCAAAACTCTCACCCATTTGCAAGGGAAGCTGTCAGTTATTGTACAAGAAAAATCACCTACACTGTCTTTTATCCCCAATCCTTACTTCATTATCACCTCTGAATATTCCAGTATTGTCTGACTTCCCATACGTGGCATGGGTAACTACTTTAACTACAATTAGCCGCAGTTATCGTCTCTCATGATTATAATAAAGATAAACTGTGTGAACTGAGTATTAAACAAATTAAAAAGTACGAGCAATCAAAATGTAAACAAGTGCAAAAGCAAACTCCCCTCTATTCGAACGAATTTCTTTAGTCTGTTAAGTTGAGAGTTTACTGTATTGCGATGGTCAGTATTCAGGTATATTTTGAAAATGATGGCTTTCGCACCAGTTGAATCAAAATTATAATAAAGTTATCTTTAAAGTAGCCTTATATGTAGGTTTAAACTGATGAGGATGCTGTAGGAAAACAGTAGAGGAATTTTGTTTAAATACCAGTACTTGAATTTAATTTCCCAATTAGTGCTGTATTTACTCATTTCCGTAACAAGTTGATCTCATTTAATAACTGGTGTAGCTCATCTTCTGTGCGTTTAAAGCTTAGCGTTTCAACTTGTAGAGACAAAAGCAGGAGAGATGAAAAATGAGCAATGCCCTCGCCGGGACTCGAACCACGGACCTCTCCAATACGCGTCGATCGTGCTGACCACTACACCACGAAGGTATGCTAAGAAGGCGGGAGAAATATCTTCTAAACTTACCACCGAAGTATTTAGAAATTAGCAATAAAGAAGAAAAGAAGAATGAAGGTAAAAAGTAGAACACTTTAATGTATTTAAATTAAATTTTCAGAACAATTCTATTAGTAAAAGGAGTAAAAAAAATTATTCCGCAATATTCACCAAGATAGGTGAATTATATGCAAATAAAATTTTAACGAAAGGTTTTATAAAAGTTCAGTTAGTGCAAGACAAGAGCTTCTAAAAGAAAATATCAATTTCTCCGTCTAGAGCGTTCGAAATTATTCCAGTTAGATTTAAGTCAACTAATCCACTCAACCAATCTATAATCTTTACGGTTTCATTTTCGAGGAACTAATTGCCAAGAAACGTTACAGATAATTAACGGAAAATTAAGATTTATTGCAGGGAGAAATACATAAATAAAAGATTTCGGGATTTCATCCGGACGCTTGACAGTTTGTTATCAGAGTACTTCCCAGGAAAAATACCTTCTCGGAAGCAATAGATTGAAACTGCTAGCCTGACCAAATAAACCGCCATCTCCAAAATGGTTTGTCTTTCAATGTTGTTTTCATTTATCGAGAATATTTTTAAATTGCGAGGTTAAGTGAAGGGCAAGAGTAACTCCTTGAATTTGAGGTGCATGCTGTTCTTGAAACCAGTTTAGTAAGGTCCTTTAGATTCAAAGTGCACACGGATGATATTATTACATGGCATTCATCTTTATGAAATTTTCTAGCTACAATGTGCCTAATAACTTTTTTTTTTACTGTACATTAAGCGAATCTAGTTTTCATGGCATCCTAGTATTGGGTATCAATTTTCGTGGGGTTTCGTTGTCGAACACCGAAGAAAAAATAATTATTCAGAAAATCGTTTGGCTTGTTGAATAACGTTTTCAGAAAAGGCGTACAAATTTATAATTAGCATTTGTTATTTAAAAAAAAAAACTATTGAAGTGGCTGTTGTAAGACAATGTCTACCGGCTTTTTGTTGTTTGGTACAAACTTAGTTCTTAAAATTCTGTAATGGGCGGCATAAAAATTTTAGTTACATATCTTTAAATATGAAATAATTTTTAATTAAAAGGCCTTGCGAATTTGAGGAAGTTAAATAGAAACAATATTTTCGATGTAACCGATAACAATTCCGCTTTATATTCTTCTCTTGCTTCCTAGTCGTTATTATTGTCCGTGTGGATCTATTTTTATTCTGCGCAAATTGATATAGATATTATTATGTAATTCCGTCGTGACTTTTTATAGTTAGTTATCCGCTTGTCAAGCTTGGCAAAGCATTTTCGAAATCTTTTGACTGCAGAAGTGTGTTTAGTATCCCATACTACATTGCGTATGAACGACTTGAAAACGTAGTTCACCAGTGGCCGAGTGGTTAAAATCGCTGAGTACTTGTAATTCGACCTGGATTCGAATCTCACCGAACGAGGTAGCTGCACAGGTGCTTTCATGATTTTTCTCTACGTGTGACGTGAATAAGTCCCAATTTTTCTTAGAAAATCTTCTCCAAAAGTATTCCTCTCATTAGATATATAATTGTAGTGCACTTTGCCGTAGTTAACTAAACAAACTATAAGTTTCCAACATCTTCTTGTAAAAATACAAGATTTCATTTGAATCATTTTAAGCCTGAATTGTGTTACATAAAATTTGGATTTACGTGTTGAGTAAAAATGTTAAAACCAGTTTAAATATTTAAAAACACATAAGGCTGTATGTTTATATCCCCCTCCCTGTATGCCCCAAAATAAAAACTACTGTTTGAGAAATTGAAAAGAAAATCTGATAATTGGCTTTCATTGCAATCTAAAGGTCATCAACAAATTTTAGTAAACCGTCACTTAAATTAATTGAAATTTTGCATTTGAATCTGCACTGAAGGTCTTAATTGTGCTTTCAATCATAAACTTTTAGTTGATTTCACATAACGCCTTTAAAATAATGAATTGTTTGAGTTAAATGACATACGTTTTGCGTGTTAATTAATATGTGCATAGAGAGAGAGGGAAAGAGAGATAGGCGTAGATATAGAATTTGGACCTCAAATTGTAATTTCTGAAATTTTGAGCGTTTTAGTTTAGTATGTATTAGTTATTTATTAGTTGTTTTAGTATTTAGTTTTTTATTTCGTATGTCCCATCCATTTGTATAAGTCGGTCTATCAAAGGCATTCAGTAGAATATTAGTATTCGTCCATGAAAGTCGTCGACTATATAGATGAAAATGTGAATATATAACCTGGGGGAAAAATTAGTTATCTTTAGTTTACTAATCATAACAATTCTTTTATATTATAGTATGCAATGGTCGTATATAGCATACTATATAACGTCAGTGTAGGCTAACGTACCATGTCTGTATAAAACAACCAGATATAGAATTTCACTCTTTGTGATTCTGAGAAATAATGTGTTACTGTAGTGAGAATAATGAATACGAGAAACAATGCGAACCAGTCAAGCATTTGATTGTAGAATGAGTCAGCTCCCGACTAGGATAATATCTGGGCATCCAACTGTTAACCACTGGGTGTAAAAAACAAGATTAATCCTGAAGCAGTGTAAAATTTACATTATAATTAATAGAAAATTGCTAATAATAATTATTTACATGTATTTTCTAGTAGTTTAATATAGGGGAATTATTTGGTTACATAAATTAAATCGATTTAAAAAAAAGAACACACTGTAAATAAGGAAAGTATAAACAACATTAGAAACGAAAACTAGGAATTATAAATGGCATTAAAGATTGGTTTGTAGAAGAGTATTGGTGTAACGTGGTTAAGTTCCAACTCATGTAAAAAAGTCGGAATTTACAATTTTTTGGGATTTTTTTTTTATTTTTGTTTTAAGTATAATGTTTATATATTCCAGATTATGAGCGTGTAAATTAAAAAAATTCCCAAATACTATGACATCATTTACTGCTACTGTTGTTATCCCACGAATTTTTCTTTCGTCCATTTTTCCCCCCTCCTCCATAGGTAGTTTACTCTGATTGTTTATGATTGTAATTTTCCATCATCCCAACAGGGCCCACCAGCGGCCGAGCGGTAAAGTCGCTGAACACTGGTAGTTCGGTCCGAGGTTCGAATCCCGCGAACGGGCTGGCTGCATGGGTGTTTTCGTGGTTTTCCCCATGTGTAACGTGTATACGAGCCAGTTTCCCTTAGAAAGTCCTCCACGAAAGGCATCCCTCCCCTTAGGCAGATAGCCCTAGTGCGCTTTGCCGTAATTAAATACACACACACACCATCATCCCAACAATAAATTAATTTTTTAAGACAGTACCCGGTTAATCTGGAGTGGACTATAATTTAACGTAATATATGTGTATATAAATATATAACAAACGCATTTGAAGATTAAGGACTGGTGTTTTTTTCATACGTTATATTAAAGTTTCGTTCCT